TCTCTCTCTCTCTCTCTCTCTCTCTCTCTCTCTCTCTCTCCCTCCTCCCTCCCTCCCTCCCTCCTTCCTTCCATTCTCCCTCCCTCCTTTCCTCTCTCGCTTTCTCTCAAGACTTTGGCCTTTAGGGTATTAAGTTCTAAAAATATATTGTCCAGGATTTGTTAATAGTGTCAATACTGAAAGCATGAAAAAAGCTTGTCTATTTCCGTTGCCACCAAAGCAAAGATAAGGTGAAAGACAACCTTATTGAAATCATACTTAGAACTATGAGCTTTCTGTTAAATGCCTTTGAAACTCAAACATCTTACAGAAGGCAGTCCAACCCATCTTCCAAAGTTCTGAGGCTAGGGAGATTACTACCAAAGGCGGATTTGTGAAATGCTTCCCTGCCATGGCATAGTTTTGCAAAAGTCAAAATTTAAATAGATAGGTAGGTAGGTAGGTAGGTAGATAGATAGACAGATAGATGATAGATAGATAGATAGATAGATAGATAGATAGATAGATAGATAGATAGATAGATAGATAGAAACAGTCTTGGGAGGTGCTCAGGGTATAGATTTCAGTGCAGAACTCTGGAGAATGAAGGACTCCAGGCAAATAAGGATGAGGGAGGGGAAGAGCATTCCACAAACAGAAGTGAAAAGGTCAAGAAAGTGTTAGAGTACATGGGTACCCTGGGAACAGGGAGGAGTTAGGTGTGGCTGCATTGCAGGTGAAGTGAGCAAGGCCTCCCACCCCAGGCTCCAGCACACGGAGACAGAACTTCTGAAGGTGACTGTTGTTTGGAAAATGATTAAAAGTGTTAAGCAAGGGCAGATCATAAGGTTTGTTACGTGTTATCTGGTCCACATTCAGAAAGGTCACTCTGATATCTCTTTGGAAGACAAATAGGAGTGAGTTAACAGTGAAGACTTCCACAAGGTGAAAGCAGAAGTAGGTCTCAGCCAAGGAAGATGGGAGGCCAGGGTCATTTCAGATACATTTAGAATTTGCAGACAGGGGTGAGTATGTACTTAAAGGAAGATGGAAGGAGATGGTTTAGGCTGATTCTAAGTTTTTTGGGTGGCACAAGACATGTCATGGTGCTAATAGCCAGGAGAAGCAATATGAGAAGCAATATACTCATAAATGTATACACACATACAGCATATATGTACATATATATAATAATATATTTTGCTTTATGTTTGTGGAGTTAGGCTGCTGGTGATGTCTGAATTCAGCATTGTGTCGGCAGCTGGAAAAGGAGGGAGGCTTCTGAAGGAGGTCAGGCTGGAATTAGGGGTCATCAGCATTCAGGAGTTTTATATGTCTGAGAAGAAGGAGAAGGGAGGCATCCAGGGTGGGAAAACAGGGGATTGGCCATGCCAGGACAGGAGTGTTACAGAAATAGGGAGAGGAAAGAGAACCTGGCAAAGAAAAAGAGAGAGAGACCAGAAAGAAAGCCAAACTGGTAAGCCAAAGGAGTCAGGGACTGGTCACTGTTCTAGGATGTGACAGACAGATTAATATAATCTGACTGAAATGTGGTTTTATTAAAATTAATTAGCTTAACACACAGAGTAATGTTTTAAAAGTCTTTAAAGTTTTTAATTTTTAGTGATGTGTATGTGTGTTGCTATGCACAAAAGATTAGTCCTTGAGAGGCCAGAAAAAGGTGTGAGATTAGCTGGAGTTAGTGGTTGTTAGGGCACACCCAACATGAACACTGGGGACCAAACACCAAGTCCTCTGCAGAAGTCGCACACCCTCTTAACCACTGAGCCACCTCTGCAGGCCCAATGGCGTGGGGTTTGTGGTGACATTCCCCATATGTATGTGCAGTTTCTCCTTGTTCTCATGTGTCTCCCCACTGATCCCTCTCTTCCCTTTACTTCCTCAGTTACTCCCCTCAGTTACATATAAACACATACATATCTGCATACATATAAATAACATCAAATCTAGCGTCTACATGTGAGAGGAAACAGTATTTATCTTTCCCAGTCTGCTTATTTTGCTTAGCATAATGATTTCCAGTTGTATCCATTTTTTCTGCAGATGTCATGATTTCACTTTTCTTTATGGCTGCATAAAATTCCATTGTGTATATATATACCACATTTTATCCTCACATCTGTTAATGGACATCTAGGCTGCTTCTACTTCTTGGCTCTTGTGATTACTGTATCAATAAACATGGATATGCAATTATCTCTGTGGTATGTTGACTCAGGGCCCATTGGGTACATTCTCAAGAGTGGTGTAGCTGGGTCATAAATTAGTTCTATTTTGGGTTTTAATTAGTTATTTTTTATGTGCATGGGTATTTTACCTGCAAATATGTCTAGGCACTACTTGTGTACCTGGGGTATGCAGAGACCATAAGAGGGTGTCACAGCTCTTGGAACTGGAGTTACATGTGACTGTTAGTCACCATGTTGGTGCTGGGAACTGAACCCAGTTCCTGTAGAAGAGCAGCCAATTCTCTTAACCATTGAGCCATTTGTCCAGCCCTAACTAGTTTCAGGGGTTTTGTTTGTTTGTCTGTTTTGTTTTGTTTTGTTTTGTTTTGAAGTGGCTATGCAATTTTACATTCCCATCAGTGATGACTAGAGTTCTTTCCAAAACCCAACACCATTTACTCTATTTTTGTTTGTTTGTTTGTTTGTTTGTTTGTTTTGATCATAGACATTCTGACTTGGGTGAGGTGGAAACTCAACTCAGTCTTAATGTGCATTCCCTTGATGCTTGAGGATGTTTAATGTCTTTTAAAACATTTATTGTCCATTTATAATTCTTTTGAGAACTGTATGTTCATGTCATTAGCATATTTGATTGGATCATGTTATTTGAATCTTGATGTTTAGAGTTTTTTGTGGTGCTTAGATTTTTGCAGTTCCTTATGTATATTCCATGTAAGTTCTCTGTCTGATGTGAAGCTTGGAAAGTTCTTTTCCCTTCTGTAGGCTGTTTACTTTGCTCATAAGTTTCTTGTGCTGAAAATTTTCTTGATTTCATTTAAGCCTGTTTGTTAATTCTTGGGATTATTTCCTGTGCTATTGGAGTCCTTTACAGAACTTCCTTGCCTATGTCTTGAAGTCTTTCCTCCTAGTGGTTTTAAAGTTTCAGATTTTACATTAAGGTCTTTGATTCATTTTTAATTGGCTTTTGTGCAGGGTGAGAGATATGGATCTAGTCTCATTTTTTTTCATGTGGAACATAATTTCCAGCATTGTAACTTAAAGCTGTCTTTTCTTCAATGTATGCTGTTGACATAGGGGGCTTTAACTGTGTGAGTTTCTGAATCCTCTACTAGAATCCTGATTCATTGTTTACTACATGAATGGATGACCTTGACATCTCTTTTGTGTTGCCCATGTATGAAATATCCATCCAGACAATAGCAGAGAGAGAAAGTAAATTCATCAGAATAGAGACTTTGGTCTCATTTGTTTCACTATCTGACCATTAGAGGAAAGAGTTATGAGGAATACATTTTTGTAACATTTGTCATTTTCTTCTTCTGTGAGTCACCTGGTCTGGATTACATGAGGCACAGAAAAATCAGGAGGGCAGGGAACACCTGAAGATGCAGGAGAGAGGTCTACCATTTCTCCAAGAGTCCGTTTCCAGGTCAGTATTACGGAGGCAGCCAAGTCTACCAGATCAAATTTCATAAGATGTATGGAGTGCTCAAATGAGCCCATAACTCTGAAATTATTCTAAATTAGGAAGAAAGTCTAAAGGACATTAAAGGGACTTATTAATTATGCACCTTAAAGACAGACCTGAGTCCATGTAGGAAAATATGTAAGTACTCAGTGAAGATGTTTTTAATGGGAATGCATACAAATGTCCATTCCAAAAGTCAGGATTTGCACTTATCAATGTATTTATTTTCTTTAAAAATGTATCATCAAATGTTTCATTTCTCAAAAAAAAAAAAATGAAACCAGTGGCATTGTATTTTCACATTCACGTGTTCTCTGTATGTTTTGAAGACTTAGGCGCTATGCCATATTAGATAGAATATGCATTATTTTAGCCAGTCATATTTAATTCTAGTCTTGACAACTACTTGTAGAGAGCAAAAAAGCTCTCTGAGTA